TTGAGAAAATCGTTTGAATATTTATTAGGGTGTTAAAATTTTTTACCTACCTGACCCTGCGTGATTTTTCTCTCACCTCAACTAAAAAGAAAAATGACACACACACACACACACACTCACTCACTCACTCACTCCATTTTGAAACATGATCTGAAGCTAAACAAGAGCCTCGCAACGTCTTCTGCCATATCCCTGTCATGCGCCCAGTGTCTCCCACTGTGTCTCCACCGTGTTCCACCGTCTCATCAGTTTTGGTTCTTGTGTGGGAGTGGGTGCATTGTGGTGTTCTTCTTCTTCTAATTCGTTTAGTTGTTCTTCTTCTTCCTCTGTTCAATTGCAAGCCAGCATCGCTGTTCGTTGTCACCGCTGCCGGATAACGTCTGCTCCTGATCCACACTGGTTAGAGTCTCGTTTGTTCACCTGGTAAGAGATCAGTGTTTTTGATCCCAGATCTGCTCATCTTTGATGCTTGTTCTTGGCTGCCATTGCTAGAATTTTTGGGCCCATAGCTATTATTGATTTAGGAGTGTTGATCTGATGTTCTTTCAATTAATGTGGCCTGGCTGTCGAACTGGGTAGGACCATAAGAGGAAGAACTGACTACCCTTTTCCTGTTTCTTCCATAGCTATTAAACGAAGGAGGTTCTGTGGTTTTTTGGCTTTGTGTCTTTAGTCTATCTTTCCTGTTAATTATTTGCGACAAGCTCAGACTGGTTGGCACATTTTAGTTTGAAAATTTGAATATATGTGTCTCTATTTATTTGTGGTTCTGTGTTCTATTAATTATTTGTGGTTATGTCAAATTGACTACCCCTTTCCTATTAATTACTTGCAACAAACTCTAAAAAGTTGGCGCTTTTTAGTTTGAAAATTTGAAGATTTGTGTTTCTATTTATCGGGGGTGTGAATTTTGGGTTTCTTCTTTGTCAGTTTTCGGAGAGACAGGGGCAATTGTTTGGATTGCCATGTTTTAACTGGGAACAAGAACAGCTAAGCTGTCAAATGTATTGACATTTTCATTGATTGAGGACCTGAGAAGAAAGCTAAGAAACCTTGTTAAAGAAAAGATATGATATTCATCAAAAGTGCAATATGATGTTAAAAACTGGCGTATATATTCATCAATGATGCTTATTGTTGATAAGTATGTTTTACAAACCTAAATATATATAATTCTGAGGTTATAATTTATAAATATTATATACATTAGATATTTCCTCATATTTATTTACAAAAGAAACATAAAAGGAATTTTGAAACTTGACCAAAGGATAACATCTTTTTAGGTGTCCCCCCGAGGTTGTTTGTGAAATGCTTCTCATTTAAGATTGTTGAATTTGTATAATATTTTTGCATTATTGGAAGAAAAGTGCTATGGTTCATTGTAACTCCCTTTTGCATTCTTGATTGACATTTTCCAATAGAATTATGAACAAAGAAAAAGGTAAGACAACATAGGATACAAGCACCACAGAGGTGTTACTTAAAGAATGCATGGAGCAAATCCACCGGAAAAATCATCAAGGAACATCATTTTCAAAGCCTGGGTGAAACAACTTTCACTCTGCATTCAATGCAAAAACAAGAAAATCATATGAGAGGAAGAAATTAAAAAATAGGCTCAATAGCTTGAGGAAGGATTGGAGAACAGGGGTTGATTTAACCAAAGAGACTGGTGTAGGTTGGGACCCTACAAACAATACAATGGTGGCAACAAATGAGTGGTGGGAGAAGAAAAAACTGGTATATAATTGTTAATCTTGAGTTATGAGCTACGTTATTACTTGTTATAGGCTTTCATTTTTGTTGATTGTATTCTTGTAAGAGAATCCCCAATATGAAAAGTTTAGGGGCGAGGGGTTGAAGTTTGCTCATGAATTAAACACAATATTCAAGGGTGTGATAGCATCTAGAGAGGATATGTTGGCACCATCTTTAACCCAACCTCAGACACAAGAGGATGACAAAGAGAATGTGTATAGAGTCGATACAGATCTACTTGAAGGATCAGGGGATAGCAAAGAAGATCTTGGAGGTGCTAGTGTAGGAGTTACGGATGAGATGGCAGGCGTAAACTCAACAGCAAATACTACACCTAGTGGTTCAGGAAGCCATGGGAAGAGGAAGAGAGGTAAAGGGTCTAGAAAAAGCAAAAAATTCTAGCCTCAAGACAAATCGTAGATTCAGTTAGTGAAATAGCTACTGCATCTAAGGATAGAACGGTTGTTCTAAACAAAATAAAGGAAGTATCAATTTTTGAGGTTACGGCCGAAGTGCTCTGCCTTGAGGAAATTACAAGTAACTCTGATTTTCGAAACCGGTGCTTAAGACTTCTGTTGCACAAGAGTGTTCAGGAAATGGTTGTTTCACTAAAAGGACAGCCGGAATACTTGGTTGCATGGCTACAGGATATGGCATGCAATCCACCATCATGGCTGAAACCCCCTTACTTGAACTATATTTTAGGACGCATGTTATGACTTTATTTTGTCTAACTTGGACCAAAGTTGTTATTATATGTTTTTAAGTTAATGTTTGTGGAACTATGAAATTATGTAACTTGTTGACTGATTATGAATGTTTTTGAATGTTTCTAAGCTACATGTGTTGTTTATAGTGGTAATTGCAACTTATGAATGTTTTTAGACTAATTTTTGTGTTTGCATGTTTAACAGCAAAAAAAAAATTATTTGTCACATACCTAAAAATATTTATTTGTCACTTAAAAAAATTCTCACAGTTGAATTTAACCACATTCACAGGTGACATTATCTATGGCAAATTAGAACAATCAATTTACGTTTGAGTGGATGGAGGAAGATGAACAGTCTCAAGAGGGGTCGGAGGAAGATGAACAGTCTCAATTGATTTCCTTTTTAGATGAAGAGATAACACAGTACGAAGAGGTAGTTGTATTGGTGAGTCAATATGTGATGCCTTATGTGTGCAAAGAGCCATGAAGAACTAGTCAGCAAATAGGTAATTTATGGGTGCAAGAAATTTTGCGAGAGCATGAAGTCCGGTGTTATGACATGTTTCGAATGGAAAAAGAAATGTTCATCCGATTATGCTCTAAACTGGTCGAATATGGTTTACAAAATTCTAAGCACCTGGGAGTGGAAGAAATTGTTGGTATGTTTTTTAACACAGTTGGTCATGAACAATGTAATAGGATGATTCAAGAAAGGTTTCAACATTCAGGAGAAACTGTAAGTAGGCATTTTCATAGAGTATTACAAGCTTGCATTAGTCTATCCAGGGAATATATCAAACCACTCGATCCTACATTTTCTGTAACTCACCCAAAAATAAAAAATGACAAACGATATTCGCCATATTTCAATGATGCAATAGGAGCAATTGATGGCACTCACGTACGATGTGTGGTGAGTCTTTCGAAGCAAGACAAATATATCGGGAGAAAGGGATATCCGACACAAAATGTCATGGCTGTATGTGACTAGGATATGTGCTTTACTTTTGTGTTGGCGGGATGGGAAGGTACTGAGTGCTTGTGTGTTTAACACTGCTGTCTCAACTCCAGCCTTGGATTTCTCTCATCCACCTCAAGGTATATTTTCATTAGCTTCAATTTTAATTATGTTGAATTCATTTTATATTTGCATTAATTTCACAATATCAACATAATTTCATGATTTATTAGGGAAGTATTATTTGGTCGACGCTGGCTATCCAACTCCACCAGGATATCTTGGTCCATACAGATGTGAGCGATATCACCTTCCAGACTTCAGGTGACAATCGGGATTTAAAAATTATAATGAAGTCTTCAATTATTATCATTCAAGTTTGAGGTGCACTATAGAAAGGACGTTTAGGGTGTGGAAGAATAAGTTTCGCATCTTAGAGAAGATGCCAAATTACAAGTATAAAACTCAAATCCAAGTAGTTTGTGCTACAATGGCTATACATAATTTTCTCCAAAGAAATTCTGAAACTGATAGAAATTTCATACAAGCTCAATCTGAAAGCACAATTGACGAAAACAATGATGATCAAGTTGGTGAGACATCCTTTTCAAATTTACCTAGATCAAGACAAATGAATCATGTGCATGACACAATCAGAGACCCAATTGTATTGGGCATGGCATCCAATTAGTTATTTGATGTATTTAGTTTAAAAATACTAAGTTTGTATGGTTTCTAATTTATATATGTATCCATTACATATATTTTATTATTTTATTATTTTTCAATTTCCTTCTAATAATAACTTAAATTTTTATTTTTAATAATTTTATTTTCAATACTTCTTTTTAAATGGTCACATTATATAAATAATTTCTTTATAACAATAAATTAAATTTCCTTATTTTTAATAATTTTATTTTCATTACTTCATTTAAAATGGTCACATTATATATATAATTTCTTTCTAATAATAAATTAAATTTCTTTACTTTTAATAATTTTTATTTTCCTTACTTCTTAAAAAATAGTCACATTATATATATATCTAATATTGGATATGTACTATTTAATAAAATTCATGTCTTTTTAAATTATTTTACATCCAAACTTACTTTTACATTTATCATCCAAATAAGTTTCAGCTTCTCAAACTGATTTTTTTTCAAAACCCAATCCAAACATAAATCACATTACCCTATCTGATTTTTACTCAATTTAACTTCTGTAAAAATCAAATTGAAAAAAAATTATTTCTGCCACCGTTATCCCAAACTCACCCTAATTTTTATATTAAGAAGTTAGCCTATATTAGAAAGTGGGTGTAGTTTTCTACTTTTCTCTTAACAGATAGGTTAATTTGTGGCTAAGTGATTGATTCTGCAACTTGTCATGAGCAGTTCACTCAGAATGATCCATCCGATCTAGTTTACAAGTCAGATTGCAGTAATTAATTATACATATGGTCAATATATATAGGCGTATAGAAACACTCCCACCCATCACGATCATTATTAATTAATAATAGCTAGAAAAAGAAGAAGAAGAAGCTAGATATATCTATCCAAGTACGACGGAATATAAAATTGACGATATGTGATTAATGCATGAAACAACCAAACCAAACTGATCCATATATTGATCACAAATATTATGACACAACAAGAAACGTACACGTGATTAATTACTTAGATCTCAAACATAGCCATAGAACCGAGCATGGGGACACAATTAAACTAGCTAGACTCATATAGGTTGAGTCCTATATAGATAACTGCTCCTCCTTTATTCTCTTCTCGCTATCCTCTGCATCATCATCATCATCCCTCATTCGATTTAGAACCTGATGCTGCAATTACCAGAGAGATTGACCATATCAGTTTCCACTAAAAGAAAACAAATCTGATCTCTAACTCACAAAATATCAGTTTCATAATGAATTAACAATATATGCATACTTGCAGTACAATTTACACTAAACTATAAAATAGATATATTTAGGACTGAATATATATTTTTGTATGTACGTACGTGGCACAGTTAGTGGAGGTGCTGATCTTGTAGGGCACGCTGACCCTGCACCGAGCAGGAAGAGCCTGAGCGTTCGCATCATTGTAGCCGGGGACTTGACTGGCGGTTGACTTGAGGCAGTTGCAGACGGTCTGCTTGTCGGCGGTGGTGCGAGCAGACTGGACGAGGCTCCTGACGCCGTTGCAGCAGCCGGGAGGAGGGGCGCCGCCTCTCTGGAGGTAACCGAGGCAAGGGGCTACGCTGGCTGTGACCTGGCCACAGGTGATGGCCTCAGCCAATGGTGCACCCACCAAGGCCACACATAACACAACCACGCATGCCAACTTCATCAGACCAGCCATCCTGAGAAAGAAGATTTTGCTTCAGATTAAAGTGCGAGTTGTGGTTTGGAGATATTGCTTGCTGTGTGAGTGCCTTTTCGTGGACAATGAGCGGGTTTATATAGAGAGGGTCTGGCCAAGCTAGGAGGGGCAAATAGAATCGAACTTCCTAGAAACAGTAAAATTTTGCACAAGTTAAAATGTTTGGACTTTATATAAAACTTAGGAAGTAACACCTTCAAGAAATAATTTAAACTCGTACTTCCAAATGTATATATGATACCGATATTTTAAAAATACTTTCTTTGGTTCCGTTATATGTGTATATATAAGAGGATTCTGAGCTGTTTTAATTTATCATAAAAATACTAATACTAATAGCTCGTTTGAAATCTTAAGATTATTTTTCATTAATTATTGGTTAGTTTTACCATGTTAATTATTCATTCATTTACTCTCCATAAATAAGGATGTTTTTGAAAAATAAGTTGTTTTTTTAACATATCCTTTAATAACAAACTTTGAAAAACTTTTTATGTATATAATTCAGTTTTCTGTATCTTATTAAAAAAAAGAAGAAGTACCATTATATAATTAAATCATCTGAAGGAAGATTCAAAATTCCATCCTTTGGTGGGTATATTATTTACCCTTTGAGCGAGTATAGAGTGGGTGTGAACAATTCCTCTCTTCTTCATTGTAGGAATGGTTATAATACTTTGGATGCGTGTACTTATTCCTTTAAAAAAGAAAATTATACCACCTAGACATAAAGTTAAAAATAACGGTATTTATATATGTCTTTAATATAAAAAATTACTATAATCAGTTAATATAATATTTGGTCTCCCAAATTTGTCCTTATTGTGATTTTGATTGATCAAGTTTTAAAGCATAGGTTTTGGTCTTTCTATGGGTAAAATGATATAGGTTTTTATTAAATTACAGGGACTAATATTTTAAATGAAAAGAAACTTGAGGAAACAAAATCTATAATTTGAAATTTGAAGGATCAAAGAGAAAAAACTTGAGGACTCAAAATTATATTAACTCCTTTTTAAAAAGGAAAATTAAACATTTAAAAGGTTAAAAAAAGAAGTGTGAATACTTGAAATTGAAGGCATTTCTAATTTTGTTTCCTTATCATTTATTGGGGCCAGAAGTTGACACATGAGAACATTACAACTTACAACTACCGCTAAATTTTATATTTACAAATATTTATATCAATAGATAACGACATATCCAAATAAATTAATTCTAGTAAGAAGGTTAGTTTCTTATAATGTGATGAATAGGGTTTAAATTCTTACTAAAAAAGAATCTATATTTAGTACTCGATAGTGTCTCAAATAGAATTAGCTTTAATACGAAGATATTTATGGATAGCATAATATATATTTACATATTTATTGTTTTAAATCAATTTTAACCCATTTTTTTATTTACATAATTCCTTTGTTTGTATCTTATATAAGGAACCGATGTGAGTACCACGTATGCTATCACATTTATTTGAAGCTTTATATAGTTTATATGGAGCATTATATTATGAAATACTACCACCAATCCTTAATACAAGAGCTAATTGTTGGGGTCATATTTATTTCTAAATATAAGACGTCAATTCATTTTGTCTCCTAGATTTATAATTTTATCCCCAAGTTATCCCTATTAATTAGATCTAGTAAGAAGGTTAGTTTCTTATAATGTGATGAATAGGGTTTAAATTCTTACTAAAAAAGAATCTATATTTAGTACTCGATAGTGTCTCAAATAGAATTAGCTTTAATATGAAGATATTTATGGATAGCATAATATATATTTACATATTTATTGTTTTAAATCAATTTTAACCCATTTTTTTATTTACATAATTCCTTTGTTTGTATCTTATACAAGGAACCGATGTGAGTACCACGTATGTTATCACATTTATTTGAAGCTTTATATAGTTTATATGGAGCATTATATTATGAAATACTACCACCAATCTTTAATACAAGAGCTAATTGTTGGGGTCATATTTATTTCTAAATATAAGACGTCAATTCATTTTGTCTCCTAGATTTATAATTTTATCCCCAAGTTATCCCTATTAATTAGATCTACATATTATGTGGGTTTCTTTAAGAAGTAATTCTAATGCAATAATTAAACAATATAGCTTAGTGAAACCAATACACATTTATTATAAATAACTAATTTAAATAATTTTCATAATATTTACAGATTAATTGTTTAATTCTTATATTAAGAATTGGAGATAATAAGAAATTTTGATAGAGAAAGATTGAGAACAAATAATTTAGGGTTACAATATTTGATCCTGATAATTTGCTCTCATTTCAATTATTTTTTTTAATTTTAAATTATAAGTTTTGATTTCTCTATAAGAAAAATGGTTCTAGTTCTTATTCAAATACAAGAAGCAATCAAAACTTATGATTTGTAATTAAACGCACCAAAATCAAAATAAGCATATACTGTAAAAATGAAATATTGTATTCATCCAATAATTTATTTTATATTTTTCATTTGTGTGGTTGTTTTCAATACAATTAGTTGCATGGGATGGCGCAGCGGGACAAGAGTCAATGGGTGGGGGAAGAGAGTGACGGGAGCAGGAGAGTTATGGAGAATGCAGAAGTAGGGCAAGGATAGGATTAGGTTGTTGGTAGTTGCTGCTCTTAAATGTAGTGTCTGATCACTATCTTCTTATTTGACCACGTAGCCTCATGCATGTTGTCAGATTTATTAACTGCTGCAGCTGATGGTGACCCAAAGCGGTGCCCAACATTATCTGCCACTCTGCTCACAAGTTGATTAGCCGGCATCACATCACCTTGAAAAATAGAGATCTACTGTTCTAATCCTATTTATAAAATAAAAAAACGTATTTTTTATTCTATTTATAGATTATTAAAAAAAAATTTATATAAATATATAATTTTATCCCTCTGTATTATTATGTTGATTTTATTTATATAAAGTTTAATATATATTAAATAGAAATAAAATTGAAAAGTTCTTAAAAATAAAAGTTGATAAAGTTTAATGTTTTTCTTAATCTGTGTGAAATATGTTGAAAGTGACTTATAAATAGAATCAGAAGAGTAAGTAATAAAAACTGAATACCATTAACACTCCTAAAATATTACTAGTATTAGGGGGGAAAAAATTAAATGCTTCTAAAATTTTATAATTTCTCTTATAGTAAAAACAAATTAGGATTAAGGTCTTTAATTATTTTAGAACTATTTATGAATGAGCACCAATCACTTAAAAGTTTTTTTTTATCTAATATACCCGAAAAATTTTATTTCATAGCAATTTTACCTTGAACCATCATCACCGTGAAGTTTAACTGTAAAAAACACGATGTCAAAATCAGATAAATTTAACAAAAAAACGTAATGGTTGATAACATTCAAAGTATATTTGCTATGAAAATAAACTTCAATAACATAAAAGAACAAAAAGAATTTTCAGGTGCTAGGTGGTTATTTGGGGATATTTTTGAAATATTTAATCACCTTAATCCAAACAAATCACCCTCCCCCGTTTCATCGATACTTTAAGTAGAAGTATAACTAGAAATTTTCTCCCATGCGATGCAGAGATGGAAATATTTGATCAGATTTTAAATTCTAATAAATTAGACTATTTAAGATAGTTCAAGATTTATTTCCTATAAAAATATGATTTTTTTTTGTTATTCACTCAAATAGGATTTGAATTATTTATTTATTTAAACCCCCAATTGACATACTATTTAATTATGATGCTTCCTATTTAATTCAATAGATTCGAATCCTAATTAAGATATTATTCAAATTTAAAATTATTAATTAATTTTTTTATTTGAGCCTCTAATTGAAATCCCATGTAATAATAATGATCCTCATTTAATTCAACATATTAAAATCCCAATCAAAATATTATTTAAACCTCATTAATTGAATATATTCAAATATCACAATATCATACCCGACCCGTTTTTAAGCGAATCGGGTATTACAAGTTTTTAAGAATATAATTGATGATTGATTGATTGATTGATAATTGATGATTGCTCCTTCCAGTCCACAAGACAATTAGAAAAATAACTTTGTTCAAAATATAAATCACTTAGAGGGTAATTAATATTTATTTATCAAATTTATCCTTATAATTAATGCTTAAATATAACTATTTGCAACCTCATTTATTACAAGTAAAGTTCAAAAAATTTAATTTAAGATAGATTTAATAAGTTAACTACTATTTTTTTCTGTTCAGAGTTAAAATAACTTATGTTGTTGATTAACAAAAAAAGTACATGACCTAGGATTTCGACATGGCCTTTTTTAGGGCTCGAAAGATTTCGACATGAGTAAATTACTTCTTCACATGACAAATTCAGATAAGATTATGATACCACTAAAGTTATTTTTTAGCTCATATGAAGTAGATATTATTATTTTTTATCTCTATTAAATACAGTCTATTTGAAGTATTGTAAAGAATTCAAAGCTCAATGTCCATGTAGTGAGGACTAGCCTATTCCTCATTTATTCTATTTTTTTTGGGTGAAAATCCTCATTGCTTCATTTAATTCAATAGAAGCTCATCCCCAACTATTAACAGAAAAATGTTTAAAATTAAATGAATTTGTTTATGAAAAAGGAATCGATCAAGAAGCAAATATTAGTACGACTTTGGGAAATACTATTGCATGAATTCTTTGCTCCTACCCACCATCGTCCATGATGTTAAATATGTGGCTGTGATGGAAGCTGTTCAGTCTTGGCAGTTGGCAGAAAGGATATAGTGGGTTTATATAATAAATTACCCAGGAGGGACACAATTGTCAATAAAATAAGTAAGGGAGGACATAATGGTCCTAAATTATACTTCATCCATTTCAATTTATAAATTTTTTTAGTGCAAATTATAAATCCAACAAACCTCATTAAATACAGGTTTTTTGTTAATAGAAAGACAATTTCTTTCAAAAGTTAAAAGGATTCATGACATTGGGCTCGCCATGACGATTCAAGCATGCAAGACGAGGCCGAGGTAGAAGGGTAATGATCA